GATACCCAATACAAGTACTCTATAACATTTCTGTGTTATTTCAATGGGTCGATGAAGAATCTACTATTATTTTTTAAAATAATTCATATGTGGTGACTATTGATCATATTCATTAATGAATTTTTGATAGCTATTATAAAAAAACCTAATTTATTTTTCTTATGCTTTATCTCTTAGTTGGCTGAAGAATCTGTTGTCATTTTTTGGACTAATTATCCTAAATTTCTTTTGATTGTATGTATATTTCTTGATGAATTGTGCATTTATCACTTAATGAATTTTACATGTTATTGTTTGTGTTGTAATATAACTAATTTAAATCTTTAATGATTGTGGAGTTGGTGTTATTTATATTACTAATTTTCTTATTAAAGAATTTATTGTTAGTATATACTTTCATTGTAATTCTTTTCTATTTTATAAATCACTTTCCAACCCATACAATTTATTTATAGTCCATTTTAATTCTGCTTATTTGTATAAAATTTTAACTAAACATAAATAACATCTTTAATTAATTTATTTTATGAAAGTTATTGAGATGTTTTTTAGTAAGTAATTTTATAACATTATTTTAATCTCAAATTTCAAGCCAAATATGAATACGGTTGACTTGCAAGACTATACATAAGCAACTTGTTTTAGAGCAACTTGCTTTAGAACAGTAAAGCTTTGAGTAAGATTGTAGTTTATAAAAATGCTTCTATAGTTCTCTTCTCTCCTATTGTATTCTTTTGTTGTAGTTCTAATGAGGATTAATGAGATATTTTTGTTGGTTTTAGCATAAAAATTCTTGGTTAAATGTTAGTATCATTATTAATAATGATTAATTTTCAAATTACTATTTCTTAAATTTTATAATAATAATAATATTTTTTCTTGAGTTTTGTAACGTGCACGTGTATTTAAATTAGTAATGCAATAAAGTTTGCGTTGATCAAATTAATTTAATTTTGAAGAGTTATTAATAATAATTATTGCGTGTAAATGATGGTTGAAGCTTTCCTGTAGTAGCTGAACATGTGGCTTAAATTTTATAAATTAGTATTCATAAAAAGTAATATTAAAATTTATATTTTATTAATAAATTTTTATTGATTGGGTCCGACAAGAAGTGGATAATAAATTTTAATGAGTTAAATACATCCAATGAAAAGTGAATTGTAAAAAATATTCCTCACATAACAAATTTTATCGGTTAAAAAGAATTTCTCGCCATTTTGACGTATTAATTTCGGTGCCAATATTCGGCGTTCCGTACAAGGAGATTGCTGGTTTGTCTATTGGTGTGGGACCGGCTTTCATGTCCAGCCCCGTACCTATCTAAGGACGGGCGTACCTGGGGGTGGTCTCGTGGTCCCACCTGGTTTCAGTAAACCAACTCTAAAAGTTGACCAGAGGAAGGACTACCATATTTTTTTAGATAGATAATTTTTTATTTAAGATATTTTATTTTATTTTTTAACATAGAATGACTGAATGAGGAGTATAAGATATATAGGTATTAATTTAAATCCATCAAACTATGAAATTATATATTTAGTGATATATCATGAAAAAAAAAAAAAATCTTAAGGCAAAATCAAGTTGGAAACTTTTGAAATTAAATCCATGATCATTTGAATTCCGATTGCAGTAAACTTACAATTGAACTGAACGTATCGAAAATGCTAACCCAACGACATCGAATTCAACCCAATCCAAGCTCAAATGGGTCAAAATCAAAGACCCGAAGTGCATTTGGAAGATAAAAGGTATCTCATTAAAAAACCCTGGTCCTCCATTTAGCACAATATCTACATCTTCTAGATAAGAAAACTTAAAAGAGATAAAAACTATCTAAAAGGTATAGGGAGCTCAAAAGACACCTTCAAATTTCACAAAATTTTAACAATGCTCGAGAGATTATTGTAAAATAGTCATTTGCCAATCACATAACCTACAAGCACAAATGATTATCACGGGAGCATTCATCTATTTCCTTGTTAGAGAAATAAATTTTATCTTAACTAAAAAGGATATAATAGAGCGCAATTTTTTTGGCGAGAGAGGCATGAGAGATGATAAAGCCTTTATAGTCCGTGAAAAGAAGAATTTATAAGGTTGTGACAAAAATATTCCATTAATATAAGATAAATCATTGATATTCATAATAAAAAAAAATTAGGTGAGAAGGCTTGAATGATTTGATGATATATTAAAAAGTTGATATTTTAATTAAAAATAAATTAATTTTATGAATATGTTTATTTAATTTAAAGTTTCAATATTACATAAATAAATATTAATATTTAGATATTAATCTCATAAAAAATTGAGTGGTATCAGTATTTATGTTTTTTTACAAAATGAAAAACTTATTACCTCATAGAAAATCCTTCAAAAGTTTTCAGACGCCGAACGGCACTGTACTTTGGCGGTACCTTTACCCTCCCCCTAATACCACCACGAGACCACCACGTCATTTTCTCCCCAATAAAAGTCCCAAAATATCCTCCTTTCTTTCTCTATCTAGAAAAGCCTTTCCTCTTCCCCTCTATACCCGTTTTCGTCATTCCAGACTAAAGCAGCGCAGCATCAGTGAAGGCGGTATCTGGACTCTCTCCCTCTCGTCTTCTTCGTTCCTCTTCATCTCTACACCCGTTCTCTATCATCTACTGAACAAGATAGAACGGCGGCTTTTTCCCTCTGCTCCGGCCATGCGATCCTTCTGCGGGCTTTCTCTGCTTCGATGGCCATCCAGCTTCACCGCCGCCCCGCTTCCTCTTCACCTATTCCTCCCAGTCCCTTCGTTCCTCTTCATCCCAACCTAAATCCATCCTCGAGGTTTTTGTTTTTCGTTCAACTATGAAGAGCACCAGTCCTCCATCTTCGCCGAAATCCATCGCGGCCGTCTTATCCGTGGACCTGCTGGTCCAGATCCTGAACCACATCGCCGGGTCTGGCGACCGGAAATCGTTTCGCCTCGTTTGCCGTGCCTTTCTCCTTGCTGAGTCGTCTCACCGCCGCTCTCTCCGTCCGCTCCGCATTGAATCTCTACCCGCGCTTCTCGGCCGCCGCTATCCATCTATTGAGTCCCTGGACCTGTCCGTTTGCCCTTCCCTCGACGACGTTTCACTCGCTGCTGCGATCGCTGACAGAAGCTACTGGCAGAAACTACGCCGGGTGGTGCTCGCTAGGGCTAGTGGGGTTGGCTGGAAAGGAATCGAGGCTCTGGTTGCGGCGTGCCCTTCAATTCAGGCCATCGACCTTTCGCATTGCTGCAGGGTTAGTGATCGAGAGGCGGCGGCGCTTGCTAAGGCGAGGGAGCTTAGGGAGCTGAGGATAGATAAGTGCCTTGGCGTGACGGATGTCGGACTTGCCATGGTTGCTGTCGGGTGCGGGAAGCTCGAGAGATTGGGGATTAAGTGGTGCATGGAGATATCTGATATCGGTATCGATTTGCTCGTCAAGAAGTGCCGTAATTTGAGGGTGCTCGACCTGTCTTATCTCAAGGTCCGTGGTACTTTAAGGTTTGCATTTTTTAGTGTGATTTTAACCTCAGTGATTTATCTAGAAATGACTAACTTAGCTATAGAATTTCATTGTTTTTTTTTTATAGACTGGAAGTTTTGATGATAAAATTAGTTCAGATTACTTATAGGCACGTTTTTTTTATTTGTTTTCAGGTGACTAAAAACTCTCTTCGCTCGATTTCCTCTCTTGAGAAATTTGAAGCTCTGACTCTTGTTGGATGCCGGTTCATCGATGATGAAGGCTTGGCTTTTCTCAACAATGGTAGAAATTCATTGCAGGTGCCAATTTAAACATCAATTCTTGACCATATGATTATTCTTAAAACAATTATTATCTTGAATAATTAACGGCAGATTATAGCTTTCCCTAACTAAAATTACTGTTGTTAGAGGTTGTGGCATGCTAGAAATTTGCGATGAAGGAGATAGAATTTTTACACGAAGATCCAACACAACACACGCAGAAAATAAAAAAATATGATAGATACTAAAATTTCTATGTGGAAATTCCTAAAAGTAAAAAAAATCACAGATCAAGATGAAATGATTTATTAGAGTCTAACCTTTCCCTCAATTGGGGAAGGCGATACTACAAAATATGTAAAATAAATTTATATTTCTATAATTGTGAAGGATGTTGAAAATGTGACAATTAGGTAGTGTTAGTGAGGCAATGATAATTGACTGATAGTTGTTGGGTGGTGATAGTTATACGATGATAGTCAGATGGTGACGGTCAAATGATAATGAATAGATTATAATATTTGGGCGGCAGTGTGCAGACAACTATAGTCAAGAAATGGAGGGCAGATGATGGCAGATAGAATGGCGTTCTCGTGACGACAGTCGGGACATGCACTACATTGAATGACGACAATCGAGCAATGATGATGAGACCGTGGTAGTTAGGCAACAATAATGATTGGCTATGATTGTCTGCGCTAAACGTCAAGTAGAGTTTTTAGAGTTCTTAAGATATTCAAGCTCTCTCCAAATTCAAGTCTAGGGTCCCTTTCATTTGGAGATTGAGGGTCTATTTATATCGAATACTTTGATAATATACCTTTCGTTAAACATTTAAGTACTTTAATTGTCTAAACAATACTTGCTTAGTAGGTTATCCGAAACCTAATTCTACATAGTTCAATTTACTCATATAAAATAATTTTTTTGCCATCCTATATTGCATGAATAATAAGACATGCTTAAAGTGAATTAGCCAAATGTTTGTATTACATAATATATCTATTAGTTCTGTTTCAGTAATAAACAAGTGTCAATAATAATTATATCTTAGTAGCGACAATTTAAACAGTGATTGAACATGATGTTAGAATAGAAACGACATAACATTTAATTGAATAAGAAATCAGCATTTGAAATAACATAACAAAATATAACATATAACAACACATTCTCATTTTTTTCGATCTTTTCTTGTACACGCACATCCATTTATACCTCTCATTTTCGCTATGCTTCTTATACCTCTACCTTCACTTATACCTCCACTTCTATATATTTGCTCCTTATAACTCCACTCCCACTTATATCTAAATGCATTGGTATTAATAAATGACCCGACTCGCCAGCTTGACCCAAACTCGGATTAAAAAATTTGGGTTCGGGTTGGACCTTTTGATAAACGAGTCAAGTTTGGGTTGGGTTTTCCGACCTGTTTAATAACCGGGTCATGTTTTGGTTGATCCGCGAATTTGCTTTTGACTCTAAATTGGCCGTTTAATATTTTTCTTAAAAAAATTTTTATTTGTAGTTATAATATTCTTTTTTGATCAAATATCATAAATTTTATAACTAATGAATTATTAAAAAAAATATTTTTTAAAACTAAAACAAGTTAACACATCGGCTTTGGGCTAGTAGGGTTGCTAGCAGGTCGGGTTCATGTTGGTATTTTTAACTAGTTTATTAAACATTGGATTTGAGTTTATTAGATTTGGGTCGAATCAATTTCGGATTGGACCCGAACCCGACCTATCATCTCGTTTTGACACTTCTACCTCAATGTGTTTATTTTTAATCTGTTCAGGCGTATCACACGCACACATGGAGGGATATATATATATATATCAGCACTTTCAATATGTATTAGCAATATATGACATAATAGAAAAAAAAGATGAAATTGCACATGTACGATAAAACTTTATGTTTTAAGTGGATTTACTTGTATACACATTCAACATTTGCAAAACATGAAATTATTCGTGAACATCATTTTTGGGAATTTTTTATTCTAAAACATTTCTGTCAATGTTAATATACTCATTAAAATATATAAAATGCCACAATAAAAACTGACCAATGAAAATATAGATTTTTTTGGCTAATATTGCCAAAACATTCTATTTTATAACATACCAAAAGTTATACAGTGGAAAGTTCCATACTTCATAAAATTGAGTTTGTATATAATGAAACCAAGTAAAATATCCAAAATACCCACACAAGTGACCCAAATTGAGTATTGAAGTAGAATAATGGTAAGTTATCTCGAGTCGAACAAATTTTTCATCTGACCTACTAGGCAAAATAGGCTCCAAGGCCCCCAAAATCCAACTTTCTCTCTTTAGGATTATCTCTCCCTTTGTCTCTAGCCGACAAACTTGAAATGAGAAAATCAATTTTGTAGATGAATTTGGATTTTTATAGACCTAGCGACAATGCTATAATCCCCAGCTGCACAACACCTCAAAGAGAAATTTTTATATATCAAAATAGAAAGCTAAGTGCCGCAACGCTCAATTCTAGCGTCGTTGTATTGACTAGTAGAGAGTTTAGCGTTGTAGCGCTCACATTATAGCGCCGTAGTGCTCCTAAAGAGAATTTTCATTGCAAAACGGAGAGCTTGGCGCTGCCACTAAGGAAAAATTTACTTAAATTGATAAAATTCTCATAAATGTTAAATAAACACACTAGGCTTATCATATCAATTTTCATGTCTTCATATGTAAATTCATCTAGACTTATCAGATCAAATTTCAGGTCTTCACATGTAAACCCAATCATTGTTGATGAGGTCATGACACTTCTGTTCTTGATTTATCGTTTGGTTCCCTTATTACACGAACTTCCAATTAAAAAATGGCTGCTTACTACATGAACAAAGTCTTAATTTCTCTCAGCTATCTTTACTTGGTCAATTTGAATTGGTTCTTAATTTCACTTATCTATTATTGATGTGATATTCTTTTTCTTATAATTTCTTAACTTCTGCATTCTATTATAAAAATTCTATTTATTCATCTTATTGTTCATCTTTTTTTTTTTTCTCTTATGTGTATCCAAACAAAATACGTTTATTTTGTAGTCTTATTTTCTAAGTCTGTTTGCCGTAATCTTTTTTTCTAAGATACTATTCCAATTATCACTGTTGCATGGAATATCCCTCCTAGTATCACCACATGTTCAACTTAACAATTCCTTTTACTTCACATTTTAATTGATTTCAACGATCTTTTTATTTCCAATACTGCATAATGCAAAGGCTGTCAAATTACAAAATAAGTTTTGAGGTTTGGATCACTCATATCTTCTTGAATAAAAAAACGGATTTGTAGATGGGCCAAGTAATCAATTTATATTGTTTCTTCTGCAGCGTATTGACATTTCACGGTGCGATAATGTGACATGGTTGGGCATAGCTTCTGTAATTGAAGGGCACAGAAATCTCCAGATGATTAATATGGGCGACTGTCGCACTGTTAGTCAAATTGCAGCAGCTTAATGTTCCTCTCTTTTGGTTTACCTTTTTCATGTTCTCATCCTGATTTCTTTTTAAATGGAAACCTCAGGAAGTTGCCCCACCCTTTCTCTCGCAACTTAGTCTCATTAATACAACCTTGAACGTGCTGAAGCTTGATGGACTAGACGTCTCAGATGCTAACCTTCAGAAAATTGGATCTAACTGCAAGAACTTGTTAGAGATTGGGCTCAGCAAATGCCGCGGTGTGACTGATGAAGGCATCAGTGAGCTTGCATCAAATTGTATCGGCCTAAGAACCATTGACCTGACTTGCTGTCATCTTCTCACTGACAACGCTCTTGTTGCAATTGCAAATCACTGTAACGACCTTACTTGTCTTAGATTGGAAGCTTGCTCACTGATAACAGAAAATGGATTTGTCCAAATTGCTACTGGTTGCTCTCAATTGCAAGTGATAGATCTTACTGATTGCAACATTAATGACACAGGTGAAACTCCCAAAGTTAGTTATGAAAGCCTTTCTACTAAAGTTTTTTTGGGATTTCCTTTTTGCTTAAACCGGGTTTGCTGTTGCAGCACTGCAGCACTTGACTAAATGTTCAGAGCTCAAGGTTTTAAAATTAGGTTTTTGTGCAAAGGTCACCAGCAAAGGCCTGGCTTGCATCGGATCTAACTGCAAGAATTTAGAAGAACTTGATCTTTATCGGTAAATATCTAAACTTCTTAGATGTGTTTTTGTTTAAATTTTAGATCCCTCTCTGATTTTTTTTGTCCTTCTTCAGATGTGTGGAAATTGATGATTCTGGATTGTCTTTCTTAGCTGATGGTTGTAAGAAGTTAAAGAAGCTAAACCTTTGCTATTGCATCCAAATCACCAATCAAGGACTTGAGCATCTTAGCCACTTTGAAGGTCTATCAGATCTCGAGCTGAGGGGGCTTGTTAATGTTACTGCTGCAGGGATTACTTCTATAGCCTTTGGTTGCAAAAGCTTAGTTGAACTGGACTTGAAGGGCTGCTCCTCAGTCGATGATGCTGCCTTGTTTGCTCTTTCTCGATATTCCCAAAATCTTCGGCAGGTAGTTTTACTTCATTCTCTCTGCACTCTGAAACTATTTCATTGAAAAGAATATATATTTTGTGAGGAGTTCCCTACTTGGTGTATAAATGAGTTGATACTGAGTGAGCTCAAGTGTTATTGGCTCGGCTCGTTAAACAAATGAGATAATGTTTTTTTTTTTTTTTGCTTTTTTCTTTTAATGTTTGGCTTGTTAAGTTATTTAACACGGACGTAATCTAGTTGAAAGTCATATATGAATTGTAGAATAGGGGTGTCAAAAGTTGGCACGACCTGAAATCCATCTCAGAAAAAATCTGGGTTTGGGTCAACCCGTTTGTCATACGGGTTGGGTTCGGGTTTGAATTTTCGACCCGTATGAAAAAATGGGTTGGGTTCGGGTTGACCCAGCAATTCGAAATCAACCCAAAGTTGACCTGGGGAATTGGCTATTGGCTAGCTGTCACGTCTCATACGTGTCGTGTGACCTTATCAGTCGTCGTGCCCACCTTGTGCTTGCCGCCGTACCAAGTATCGCGCCAGTCAAATGAGTCATCGCGTCAGTTGTCGCGTCCGCCGTCTTCCTTGTCCCTCCTGCCGTGCCACATCTCACACTAGTCGGGCAGACTCGTCCGATGTCCGCCAATGCTGCCGCCGACTTGTTGTGCGGCCAGTGCCAACTGCTCGTGCCCGCACCCCCGGGCTGGCACGCCTTGCCTGCTGCCATTGAGCCGCGTCAATTCTCCTTTACCGTCTATTCACATCCGGGTTCGTGTGTCGAGTCGGGCAACCCGACAACCAGGATGGGTTAGGTCCGGGTTGGAAATCCCGACCTGTTTTCAAAACCGGGTTGGGTTCGGTTGACCCGTTTGGACCTAGGGAGGCCGGGTTCAACCCGAACCGGACCCACCGACCTGTTTTGACACTCTATTGTAGAATATGATCAAATAATGTCTTTTTTGGTATTTGACATGTTAGATAAATGAGTTTATATTGCATTTGGGTCTATCTTGCAGCTTAATATATCCAACTGCCCTGTCTCTAGCCTGGGCCTTTGCAAGTTGCTTGGCAGCTTAAGGTGTTTACAAGATGTGAAGTTGGTGCAGCTCAGCGGAGTCAGCGTTGAGGGCTTCGAGTTTGCGTTGAGAGCTTCGCGGTGCAAACTGAAGAAGTTGAAATTAGTTAGTGCTTTGAGAAAGCTGCTGTCTCCCGGACTGCTACAGATGCTTCAAGCTAGAGGTTGCAGGATTCGCTGGGTGGACAAGCCCTTGCTCTTCAACTCCTTCCCAATTGCATGAAATGTGAGTTCTTGCTGCTTATTTTAACACTTTATGCTTTGTTTCAAGTGTTCTTAGGTGCGCTATCGCTGAATTCTTATTTATGTATTACGTATATAACATCTAAAGTTGTGATTTTGTTGATGGAAAGTCCACATTACTAATGGAACAAATTGAGATGGAGCTTAAAATCCGGAGAATTGAAATTATTCTGTGTGAAGATTGGACGTAGAACCGCCGTCCGGACACCAACCAGAATGCGGCGTCAACACTACCGAGGTGACGTGGAACATTCTGATTTATCTCCGGATGACATTCGGCGTTCGCACAGAATAATTATTCCTAAATCCGTCGGTTTATGGTTGGAAAATATCAAAGTTGGGGCTAATTTTAGAATATGATTGTTTTATTCATTTATTTTATATGCGAAATTAAAATTTATATTACATTTTTTTTTCGATATTCAATCTTTGAAATAATTATTAAATTTTTTGACTTTGTTGCACTTTTAAATATTTCATCATCTTACAAATCATAAACCCCTTTCTCCTACTCTCTCACTCTCTAAAATGAGCATAATTTGCCATTTATTTATATTAAGGCTTTGTTTGGGCGACGTTCTTATTATTTAAATTAATTTTTTAGCACAAAATTAAAATTTTATGCTAGAAGCTTTAATTTTATATTATAAAGTTGCTTTAAGAAGGATAAGAAAGTCATCCCAAATGAAGTCTAAATCATCTATGGAATTATGATCTATAATGTATTGCATGTGAATTAAATTTTATTTACTTTTATTAGAATTTAATCATTCATTAAATATGTAAAAAGATACAATAAGTCGTCTAGTCTAATGATATTAAAATTCATTAAAAAAGCCTAATTTAATATAAATATTCTATCGCTCAAAACTTTTTAATGGATACAATATATCGTCAATAATTCTTGCGTTTGACTTCAAATAATTTACAAACCTCTACATTTATACAAACAATATCATTATAAGCGGAAGTCAAAGGCAAGTACTAACTAGGCTTTTTAAAATTAGAATGTATCATTATTACTATTTTTATCTTCAATAAATTTTTTAAAAGTTTACTGTGAAAGTTACATATTTTTTTATAACTATCATAATAATATTGTAGATATAATTCTTCGTTTTTAACTAATTATCTTAATATTGAAGCTCTGAATGACGAAAAACAAGAAAAGAATATATGAGCATAGTTGTAATAAAAAATTTAGGCTTTATTTGGGACGGTTTTTTAATGCTTTTTAAAATAAATTTTTAGTATAAAATTTTTTAAAATTAGAATATTTTACATTAAAAAGTCGTTTTATAAAGCAGTAAGAAAGCTGTCCCAAACGAAATCTTAAGCTAGTTTTTACTCATAAAAAATTTACCCATAGATGCTCTAGCATCAATGCACATGCATAATGCTAAGTTAGTTTTAATGATGTAATTTACTATTAAATCATTGAATTAATATGGTCCAAATATGAATTATCAAGGAAATTATACTTTGAAAAATAAAATCCTTTTAAATTTAATCATAACAATTAATTGAAAATTTTTATTAATGCATTTGGTCAACATGTTATTTTGACATTAGCTTATCAATTTATTAATGAACAAAAAAATAAAATAAAAAAATTTAAATATATTATTTGATCATTTGAAAAATAATTTTAATATATAATAAATCATTTAAATGGGCATTGCATGTTGTGATTATTATTTCCATTTCATTTTGTGCAAAAATCATTTGATTAGATGATGAGATCTGATGTGGATAGTTGTTTGATTATGCGGTGTGCTAAGCTGGAGCAGGTTGCTATGATAATTATTAAATATATTTTAAATATTATAAAAAATGGTTGAGAGAATTATTGAGATGATGGAAGACAAAACTATTATATATGTTTTCAGTGATTTGATAGTATTTGACAGAGAGAGATGTGGCTGTTGTTTGACAGCAAAGGAATGGTATTTTTGCTGCTACATTTCTTAAATAAAATTATAATCTTCTTTTTTTAAGCCATTTATCAAATTACAATAAACAACCGCTTGGTTGAGATCTAGTGACAAATGGAGGTCAGGTAAAGGTTCGACGACGTTCGATTGGGTGGAAGTCTGGGTGTCAATCGGTGGTCTGGTGGAAGTCATGACGTCAGTTAGTGGTCCGACGAAAATCCGACATCAATCAGTGGTCCAATAGAAGTCCGAGCGTCAATCGATGGTCCAACGGAAGTCCGAGTGTCAATCGGTGGTCCGACGAAAGTCTATGCGTCAGTTGGTGGTTCGACAAAAGTTTGGTGTTAGTCGATAGTCGGACAGAAATCTGGCGTCATGCGGTGGTCCGGCGAAAGTCTGGCGCCCCTCTATGGTCTAGAGAAAGTTCGACGATGATCGAGGAGGAACAAGGTGGCAAGAGAGATCTCAGATCTTTCTTTCTTGTTTTCTTGCTTGGGGTCCATCTCATGAGAAATGAGGGGTCTATTTATAGATTTCTTATAGTGACATGGATAATAAATAGGAGGAAGATCAAAGATAAGTTGGGAGTTGTTTGCATGGACGACTGATGTTGATTCCTTTGATCATGAACATTTTACTAGAGATTTAAATGTCTTAGTGATATCAAAATTCAACGATATTTGGCTCGTTGGATTCATCTCGTCAAGCCGCTCGATTCGACTATAAGCATGTCACATTTGGAAACCGTTTGGTAATCCAAATTGTGGTTTGAACATCTCAAAAGAGCTTCGGGTCGTTGATTTGGACCCATTTGGGCTCGGTTCGAATTTGGTGTCGTTGGGTTTGTATTTTCGAGACGATTAGTTCAACTATAAATTTGTTGAAAACATAATTCGTATGGTCCCAATTTTAATTTCAAAAGTTTCCGGTTGAATTTTGCCTCGAGGTTCGTGCAAAATCAAGATAATTTTTTAATGATAAATCATATATATATTCTCTACGAATTATTGTCAAAATTTTGGAATCAATGTCATTTATATTGAATAATTGTTAGCCCAAAATTTTTTTAAGAATTTTTATTTTTCAAAATAGTAATTGGTGAAGTTTATATATTTTTCATCTTATAAAACAATATTCAAAGTCTGAGACACCTAAGCGTGGGTCCCTTCTGGTGCCAGAGGAGAGGCAATTAAAACCTTCCCCATTCATGACATCTCTTCGAGTTGGCTTTCAATTTTCCTCTTATATAAAATTTTGGTTTCATGGTTTAGCGAAGACGGCTTCTCTCTCTCTCTCTCTCCTCTCCAATTATTTGACCTCTCCTTCATCCTTCTTGTCTTCTCTCCTCCTCTACATCAGTTCTGCTTGGAGCTTTCCGGTCTACATGAAGGGGCTAGTAAGTACGTTATTTTCGTATTTTCCCCTGTAATCCTACATTTTATTGTTGTTTTTGGTGCGAAAGGTGCTATCTTTCTCGCTTGCTTAGACTTTCCTGTATCAGAGTTTTGTAATTGCATAATGACATCTCTAAAATTTCTCGCTTTTTTTACTTCGCTCCTTTTGATTCTAATCTCTTTGTTCTTCTACTTAGAAATGTCGACTCACTCTGTTTCGACTACCATTTGTTTCTTGTTTGATCCGGATGTCTTGGATCTTGTCCAACTGGAGTTAAAATTTATAATTTTATACCATTTTTGGGTTATAAGGAATCTCGTTGAAAGCACTGATGGCTTTGTTATGCTTCAGATCATAATTACTTGTATGATTGATTTTTGCCCCTTGTTCTTCTCCTCTGCACTCAACCAGCTCCCATTGGCTCCATCGTATTAGTTTTTAACATCTGTAAGCTGCCTCTGCCCCATTACCTGAATTCTACATTGCGTTACGGAAACATTAGAACCCCATTGTTCTAACCTTAATTTTGAACTGAGAATCTTTATGGCCCATTCTGCAATATGCATCCCAGTAGTCCATTCCAAGAATAATCCTTTTTGAAATTGTAGGTATTCAAGTAATTGTGATATTAAGTTGTTTTATTCACCTACATGTTGTGCACATAAACTGTTTGTATTGTTGCCTAAGATAACTTTTGTGATGTTTACTATCTTTTGTTTCATTAGGCGGCATTGTATTGGTTCTATTAGTGGTCGATACTATTAAAGGAAGCCAATATGGTGATGGGATTTGTAAATACAAGAGAGCATTGGCTCCAAGACCCCACAGTGTCACACTTACCGAGTTTGGTGCAGTTGGGGATGGGGCGACGATAAATACCCTCGCATTTCAAAATGCAATCTTCTATTTGAGGTCTTTTGCTGACAAGGGTGGAGCTCAGCTGTATGTTCCCAAAGGGAAGTGGCTTACAGGGAGCTTCAATCTCATAAGCCATCTCACTCTATTTCTTGACAAAGGAGCTGTCATCATTGGAACTCAGGTCCTTTTCATTAGCCCAGCCTTAGATACTTCAGTTTTTCCTCTATTTTTGCGTGATATGGATGCTATGGCTTTTAATAGGCCCATCAGCCATCTCATCTTATATTAATGTATGAATTTAATTCATGAAATTATATGCCCCACATTTCTCAATGTTTTGATATAGTAGTTAGCCAAGTTTGTAATGTATTAATCAAGAATGAATTAGTTGATTATGATGTATTATTATGACTAATAATATCAACCCATAATGAAATTATTAAATCGCTGACACCAGCTTAATCTTGTCATGGAAGTACATGTATTAGTTTGCTGTTTTATTGTCAAGTAAATAATAAGGAACTAACCTTTTTGGTAGTAGGTATCCAATTTTACGCTTTTAACTTTCAATGGCTCTCGCTTTGAGAATGGTGTCCTGTTGTGGCCTGTCAAAATAACATGTAATTTAATGGCTTGAGCAGCATAGAGTATTTTGGAATGTCTTGAAATTGGATCTATTTTTTGTAGAAGTTAATTTCAGTTCTTGCATTTGCAACATTGGAATTGATATTTGCACATGAATGCATTAATTCAATGTTTTCCACATAAATCCCTATGGTTTCTTCTAGGTTCCATGGCTGAACTCCCTCTTCCCCAGGAAAACAAAATTTCACTTATTTTACAAAGTAAAAATATAAGAAAACTTTTGACTTCTCCATTGTGAAATCAAGTTAGCTCAAGGTATAAATTTTGGTTAAACTACCTTATGCCATGAAAATGAGAAAGTATATAACATCAAATAAACCATTTTTGGAATGGAACAATGAACTGATAACCATTCCAGTCCAGTATAATATATTCAAAATTAAAATATATGAAAAGTTCTTTAAATCTTGAGATTTATCCTTGTTCCTTTTCTCATTGCAGGATCTACAACAATGGCCTACAGCAGATCCTTTACCATCATATGGTAGTGGAATTGAACTTCCAGGAAGAAGGTACCAGAGTTTGATTAATGGCAACAATTTGATAGATATAGTAATAACAGGCATGAGCACTAACTTGATTTCTCTCGTTTTAACTTGTACTTTTAGCTAAGCTTATTGATCCTTCATCCTGTAATACATTGATTATTATGTATTTTCTTATCATTACACAGGGGATAACGGAACCATAGATGGCCAGGGATTAGTGTGGTGGGACTTTTTCCGCTCTCATATTTTGAATTATAGTCGACCTCATCTTATTGAGATCGTGAATTCTAAATATATTTTTGTCTCAAATTTAACTTTCTTGAATCCCCCGGCCTGGACAATTCATCCAGTTTACTGTAGGTGCGTTTTTGAAACTTTGTATCCTGTTTTTTTTCCTGTTTCTAAGAGAGATTATGGAGCACCTTTGAAGGTATTAGCATGACTAACTAATATATTCAATTTTCTTTTTCTGGAATTCAGCAATTTAACGGTTCAGGATATAATAATCAATGCTCCATCAGATTCTCCATTCACAAATGGTGTAGTTCCAGGTTGGAATCAACTCTCCTGTAATGTTATAACTGTTCTGTCATCTTCAATTAGCTTTTGGTAACTGCAATTTTGCCTAAGTTCAAGGCGAAAGTCACATGCTGAAAAACATATGGTAGTTGCAAGTATTTAAAATTAAAGCAATTTTAAATCACAGTGTATTTTAAAATTGTGAGCTTATTTTCTCATGCTTGGTTGAAACTAATAAGAAAATTGAAAAAAATTGAAAAATAAAAAGAAACCAACTTTCGCATGCTTAGGAATGCAAGTGCGACGGACATGGAGGTGTTAGGTCTAGTGAGTGGCATTGCAACAGCGGAGTAATGATAAAAGTGTAGGTGGTCGCACTAGAAAAGGGGTGTCACTTAATTTCATAGAAAATGGGGTATCACCTATCTTTGCGCTAATGCGAGCGAGGTAGTGCCTAGGGAATTGCATGTAGGTCCCAAGCAACAACTAGTGTCATTGGTGTGGATGCTAGTGTAATGCGGTGACATTGAGTGTGGCGGAGACAATGCTTGAGGTTGCTTTAGATAGAACACATGATGTATTTGGAAGTTGGTCAAATATAATAAATGTCAAATGAACTGAGGGTCTTTTTGGTTTAATTAAAAAAATATCAAGTAAAAAGAATGGAATGTAAAGTAAAAAAATGTATATTGAAAATAATTTTGAGTTGTTTAGTTGAGTATATTATACATTTGGGATTTTAAATTTTATTGTTTGATTTAAAATAAGGGAATGCAAAGTAAAATAGTAGCCCATTTAGAATAATAGCTAATATGAGATAATTGACAGTGAGGGTGGCGGGCAACAATGATAAGCAAGTGGTGGCAATAGCCGGCAAGGATACGGCCAGAAGTAACGCTATGATGTTGGTGGCCATGTTGGCGACCAGTTGACGACAACAACGGTTGGCCAGCATCACTTTTGCCAAATTATGTATTTGGAAGTCACTCAAAAAGGACGAATTCCAAATACATTAAAAAGAAACTGAAAGTGATTTCCAAATGCACTCCTAAAATAACACACCTATTAAAATCTCTGATTTTTTTCAAATATTCGTATTCATTTTACTTTACAGTCAAAATTCTTCCAGCAAATAGCCCCTGAAAATGTAATGAGTGGCCTTCAAATCCCACAACACATTGCTTTTCAGTTTGTTTTTCTTTCAACCAAAAACTTGAAATTTCAAAATTTCTGCATTTGATTTACACCACACTACTAAAGCTTCCAACAAATAGGCCCTACTTGCAGCCTTTCGGTTGCTTTAGGTGAGTTTGTTTTTCTTGCCAATTTGCCCAAAAAAATTATAGCGTTACTCATTATTTGCATCTTCGTTAGACAAGTTTTTGTTAATGCATGGTTTCTGATTTATCAAGTAATTGATATGGCATAATATAAAAATATAAAAATATAAAGGAAAATAATATACCTTAATTGGCCATAAGTTGAATCGAATTCTTCATGTGGAAAGTTTCATTTGACAACCTCTTTTTACGTGCTGATTGCTGCATTTTTTAGTTCTCCAGTTTTTAGGGTTTAGGGTTCTGTTCAAGGATGTTGTTATCATATTAGCAAGCTCTTAGATATCTAAAGTCTAAATTCAAATGGAACCCTAATATAGATAAGCACAATCTGTTTAATGGAAATTTCATCTGAAGGAATAATTTTGTTTAAACACTTTGAATAGCCGATTCATTGCCATCCCTAACGACTGTTAAGGAACTGTTAGTTCTTTATTTAATGAATATTGCCATTTTAATAATAATAATAATGTGTTTCAATCATAGGACTGCAACCATCTTGTGTACAAACTTCTTTTGTATCATGAAATGTAATATTTTTAAGTATAAAACCTAAAATAAAGTTCATTTGGGATATTAGGAAGAATGTAGCTTAAACAAAGATTGACACCTATACACAGCCCTTAAGGTGTACATTTTTATGTTAAATCATGGAGCCAAATTAATGCCCTATGAAGAAATACTTAATACAAATGCCCTTAGAGTTGTTTCATTAAGGATATTCTAAGGATTTCATTTGTAATTTCAACAATCCGAGGTTTTCATTATACAAGGGGACATTTTTATTATGTTATCCTCATATTAGAAGGAAATAATGTAGAGAAGTCGTGAGTTTGTGAATTACTCTTATAAAATTTCATCGTTATTGTAATAGTGAATCTGCAATGACAAAAACATGGAGTAGTCATAATGATAGTGTTGGTGTAAGTGATTCTTCGATGTTATCTCTAACAGCTATGCTTTTGCTTTCATTACAGATTCATGCTCAGATATGTGCATTAAGGACAGTAGCATCACTGTGGGTCATGATGCAATCACCCTCAAGAGTGGCTGGGATGAGTATGGGATTTACTACTCTAAACCCTCTTCCAATATCCATATCACCAATGTCTTCCTCCAATCCCTTTTTGGGTCTGCCCTTGCATTTGGCAGTGAAATGTCTGGAGGAATCTCAGACATCCAAGCCGACCATCTTCAAATTTACAACTCAAATATTGGTATCAACTTTAAAACCACGAGAGGCCGTGGTGGTTTCATGAAAGACATTTTAATCTCTGATGTAGTGTTGCAGTCTGTCAGTACTGCAATTAACTTTGACGGGCACTTTGGCCGTCACCCTGATGAAAAATATGATCCTGAAGCACTTCCAATGATCGATAGAATCACAATCAAGAATGTCATTGGAACCAATGTTTCTGTTGCAGGTGCTCTATCTGGTATTGAGAATGATTCCTTCACTGCCATTTGCCTTTCAAACATCAACTTGACACTTACTTCGTCGTCAGAGACTTCAACTTCATGGAATTGCTCCAATGTCTCAGGTTTCTCTGAAGAGGTCTCCCCTGAGCCATGTTCTGATCTGCAGATTCAGTACTCCAATTCATCTCTTGTTTGTTATTCCCTTGCTGCTAAGTATAAGTATGTTCCTTTGGCTATGTCATAAGCAGTTTAGCTGTCTCTGCTGCTCGGGTTTCCACCATACAATGTTTGATACCTCAAGCCCTCTGAGTGCTCTTGCAGGTAATTCTTTTTCATTACAATAAGCTGTATGTAAGCTCGTTATTGCCTGGAAGTTATGTGTTGTACAGCTCCATTTATTTCATTCAAATCTGTAAGAAAAGTTTTTTTGGTCTTGTTGGGAATGCAGCCATTTGGTTTCATAATTGTTCTTTATAAGATTGTTATGAAGGAATAAAAGTAGTATGCGCACTCGATTATTATAGCTAATATCAGAGATATTAGGCAATAAAGACTCCACAATAAAAAACATAGTGAAATTTACAATGATGGCAATAAGATGTAGCAAGTAATTGGATGAACTCGTATAAATTTTCTTATGTTTTTTTTGTGTGTTAAGCTACTTTCTATTTTATTTATTCTCAATAATTTGAACCAGATCTCACTTAATTATCCTACATAGTTCTCATTTAGGTTTGTACTTTTTCTGAGTGCCTCCCTGTGCTACCTTCCATCAGTGGGCCTTAGTTTGAGATGCTGATGAGAAATAAAAATGACAGTATGAACAGTAAGCTCGAGAGGTCTCAGCATTTTTATTTTAATTTAATTGTCGAAATCATTACATCAGGAGCATTTTTTGTCTAATAGATGGAGATGATATGGCTCATTTATCTATAATAGGCTTTACCAATATACAAAAAAAACATCTATAAATATCCACAAGAGGAGCAGGTAAAAAACTCTCACTCCGTCATCTATGAATACACATACCCAAATTTCGTTGGTATTGAAAACTATTTTAGCAATCCAACAATATTATATGTGCTTCCCTTCCAAAAATTGTAATTATGAGTAATAGACTTTCATAACAATTGGTAAAGTATCACTAAAGGTCTGTTTGAGGCAACTTTCTCGTTGTTTTATTTTTCTGATTGCAATCATAATTTTATTTGGCTACTACATTCTAGCTACTTCGTAAAAAGTTGTTTTTTGTAATAAGAGTAGCTAAGTTATTTTCTTTATAGCTACTTTACAAACAATTTTATAAAATACTGCAGCCGTCCCAAATAGATCCTAAATGAAGCTCAAATTTGATATAAACGAAATTCGATCCGACAATCATGTAACTTTTGAAAAATTTTATCAGCTAAATTAGCTGACAAGAGAGGGTTGGTTGTTTGATTTCCTATTATTAAGCTGTCCAACTTCAATAATAGATCTGTACATTTGAGGGGCAGAACCACCTCATGAAGAGCACAAAAATAAAAATAAATAAAACAAATGGTTTGTGTAGATTTGGAAGAGTTCATGGTGGGGATAGTTGGTTCAATGAGCTGTTTAAATGATGTGAGCTTTGTTAGGTACTGCAACACTTAGCTTGCAATCTTTTTCTGTGGTAGGGCTTAGATGTCTGAACTTTGAACTATCATCTTTTGTTAATTGGGTGGGGGAAAAGAATCATATATATTAAGACATCTCTTAATATCTAAAGAGACAATACTTTCTAATTTTATACTAAAAAACTTTTTTAAAAAACAGCAAGAAAATCGTCCCAAATAAAACTTTAATTCATTGAAGTCCTATAAAGAGGATTATGAGAGATTTACAATTGAATGACCTTCATATTGTTAATAATGAAATAGAGGATATTTTCCTTAAAAAAGGCATCTTTATAGTATCAAAGAGTAAGATTTCCTTGAGTGATAGAAGAGGGTGTGTCAATACAATCTAAAAAATGAGTTTTCATGGAAACTGTGATGATCTTAATGGCTGTACTTAGTGGTTTGGTTTGAGCTAAAATGTTCTGTTGGTGGAAGACAATATATATGACTTACCTCAAAATCTTGATGAAGAGCGAAATTTCCACTACAAGACAACACAATCCTTCCAGCTTCCAGTGGTAAAAATGAATAGAAAAGTTAGGCCAAAATTTGCAGCGAAGGATCCCCACTGATGGAGACAATAGTGACAATGCATAAGGCCCTATTGTGTTGTGATCTGAGGGGTCTCTCAACACCTGCAGTAGAGGAGAGAATTGAAGTGCATTAACTGCTTAGTACTTGTAATAACTATGAATAACAGCTGATGGCAGAAGAAATACCTAACACAATAATTATAGGTACCAATAACATTGAAGAAACAAAGCAGATAAGCAATAACTTCTCATGTAGTTTTATCACCAGCTGAAGCTCATTATGGATATGTAGCAATATTAGTCAATGGGATTCTCTGTTAGCTGTTTTTAGAATGTCATTGGCCTCTGAAATGAACTAATTTAACATTTTATTCTTATGAATTTGTTCATTGTGGTAATTAATTAATTAGTGGTCCATGACTCAACTTATACTTGAATTAAAGTAATGTTAATGATTGTGGAGTTTAATAGGGATGGACCAAACCCCACTAGACTATGTGCACATGCATATGCTTGCTTCATGTGTTAATGATTTTGAATTAATGGATGTAATTTTCATTTTTCTCTTTTATTTTCATGCAGAAAATATCAAATCAACAAGAGAGTTCTGAGCATACATATAGTAATTATTTCTTGAATAATTATGATTAAATCAGTTTTTTATTGAAAAAAAAAAGAGAAAGCAACTGCATAACATTGAAAGCAATGGCTGAAGTATGAACAATGGAAGAAATTATTATGTGCGGACACTGTACTATTCATAGGCAAATCAGAGTGCACCGCGTCACCCGGTACACAGTAGGTAGATAGCCGCTGTACACAGCACCTAGGTGACGTGGTACGTTCAGATTTGCCTCTGGACACGTACGATGTCTGCACAGAATAATTTCACGAACAAGGGATAATGGTCACGGGTGGAATACAAGGCGGTTGGGTTAATGAGAGGAAATTGGACAGCGAAATTTCGGTAGAGAATCAAATTCAGGTTTCAGTAGAACCCGTCTCCAGTTTCTATTGAAACTGGACCGCTCTTCTCCTCATTTGTTCCTTTTGATATTAAGTATTCAACCAACATTTTATACTTACTTTTAATTAAATTGAAAGCAATGGCTGAAGCTTCCAAAGAGAGTAAGAGCTGCGCAAGCAACAGCATAAAATTGAAAGCAATGGCTGAAGCTTGAACAGCTACAGGCCCACAATAATGATAGCAATGGATTGTGGCCTGAAACGGTTTATGGCCATTCAGGCAATAACTGCATGCAGTTTGTTCATAGGCGAAAAGCTCATATTTATGATGGCCATATTTGTCAATAGGATTCTCGACTATTCTTCTACGAAATTAACTCATTTAGCAATCAATTTATTATTCTTTATATTTTTTTTAATTTTTATCTAAAATATTTTCATAACTATCAATAATAAATGATGAAAATAACATGAGATTGTTATCAATAAATAATGCTTTGTTGTTCAAATATCATAATTTCATTTGGCTATTATTTTATTTATATTTTTTCAAATTTTTTTTTTAGATCGTGATAAACTATTTTGACGACCATGTAATTGCCCCAAATAGATCCTTAAAAGACAACGAGCAATGTATTGCCAGCCTTATGAATACAAATAATAAATGATGAAAATAATATCATATTGTTATCAATAATACTTTGTTGTTCAAATATCACAATTTCATTTGGCTATTATTTTATTAATATTTTTTCAAAATTTTTTTTTTTAGATTGTGATAAACTATTTTGACGACCATGTAATTGCCCCAAATAGATCCTTAAAAGACAACGAGCAATGTATTGCCAGCCTTATGAATACAAATCATATTGTATGAGGCAAAATTTTAAATAGGAGCAAATGATTAATTTAAATTGGCACAGTGTTGAATGCGTAAAATGATTTAACAAGTTTTAAAAGAGAGGACGTGGAGAGAGAGTAAGAGAGAAAGAGAGATGATCGAGAGAGAGTATAAGAGAGAGATGATAGTGAGAGGATAAATTATTACGTGTAGAGATCAAATATAGAGAATAATCTAATTTATCTCTGTGAACAGTAAAATCGCAGTTCACTGTGCTTTTATTATTCACCACTGTGTTTTTACTGAACACAGAGGCAAAACTAAACGATTATTTAGCGCATTCAACACTATCAAATAATTTGATGAATTCGCCCCTTTCACTAATTTAGTTTACTCATCAAGCCCTTTCTAAAATTTTGCCTCTTGCATGACAATAATATTTTCTTAAAAAATTCATATTAGAAGAATTTGAAAACAAGTTTATATACAAGAGACTAGAGAGAGAGATTCCTACATTAATTAAATCATGGTACAATAGCTGGTCTAACTAACCTTGCACTTAATTCAATAATTAAAATTCATTAATCTAATCAGCAAAACATACTCCCACCAAACAACCTCTTAAGATAAATCACTAAACCCTAACCCTAATTTAAAAAAAAAGAAAAGAAAAGAAAAGAAGAAGTAATCTATGTGGTGATAGTACAGTTAATGGTTTCAACCTTGGGCACATCAACAGGGAACTTATCAATCTCCTCCAGCCATGGATAGCTCCCCTTTGGATTTATATCTCTCAGCGCCTTCCAAACCACACTGTTGCACTTAAATCCAGAACCAAATCCGATTTGCCAGACCCTATCCCCTTTCTTAACCCTGTTCTTCGCCTCCGAATACCCTAATTCATACCACAACGAGCTGCTCGAAGTGTTGCCGAATCTGTACAGAGTCATCCTCGACGGCTCCATCTGCCAGCTTCCAAGATCCAATCTTTTCTCCAGTTCGTCTAATATCGCCCTTCCTCCGGCGTGGATGCAGAAGTGCTCGAAGGCTTTTTTGAAATCCGGCACATAGGGTTTCGAAACTGATGAGTGTGGGCCGAAGCATTTGGTTGAGATTAGGGAAAAGGCGAAGCGGAGTTGTTCGGACAAGGGGAGGACGCGGGGGCCGAGGGCGGTGATGTTGGCCTTCAGGGCGCCGCCGGCGACGGACATTAGGTCTTTGGAAAGGGAAACGCCTACTTTGCCCTGATCGTCTTCTTCCTGAGAGACGCAGAGATAGGAGGAGTCGTCGGAGCCTCTGTGAGTGCGGATCAGGTCGGATAGAGAGTACTTGGCGCGGTGGAGATCGGAGCGGCGGTTGGAGAGGAGGACGGCGGCGGCGCCCATACGGAAGAGGCAGTTGGTGACGAGCATAGGACGGTTGTTGCCGTAGTAGCCATGGAGGGTTAGGTTTTCGGTGCTGACTATGAGAGCGTAGCTGTTCGGCCTCACCTGCAAATATACTCTCACTTTATTTATTATATACGACAAAATTTTTATGGTTATTTAAATTCAAAACTTTATACTTTCATTTAAATTAAATGTGATAAATAAATAATTTATATTTAATTTACCTTATAATGAATTCAAATGCTTTGGACTTTCTTAAGTCTCTTTTTTTTGGGTTTTAACTTTTATAAATTTATTTTGTGATGACAAGAAATTTAAACAAATTTAAATAATAATGAGATGTATTAAAATATAATCACCATTACAAAATTGATTATTTAAACATTTTAAAGATAAAATAGAAGCTTTTTTTATTATTTTATTTTTTATTGGGAGACTAGATGTATTATACTAGTGAATTCAAAATTTAAATAATTTTTTAATTTCATAAAATTATTATATGAAATTATATTCTCTCTCTCTACATATATAATGTATAAAAAGATTTGTGATGTATTTTAAAATTGCATTTTATGGTAAAAAGTATTATTTATGAATGGGTGATATAATATTAAATAAGAAGGTGATTGTTTTATGATTTAGCCATACAAAACATGAAATTTATCCAAAAAGAACTCTTAAATTTATTTAAGATATGTGCAATGCACAAATATATACATAATCAATCTACTCTTATATTAATCCACTTATCTTAAAATAAATTTAAAAAAAAAAACTTTAAAATCCATTACACTTCTCAACAATTTTTTCTTCTTAAAAAATTTTATAGTACGTATAATATATATTATAAAAAAGAAAGAAAATCATCTAAAAATATCCTAATATAAATTATACTAAAATATTTATTTTTTTATCGAAAATAATAAAAATAATAATAAAGAGAAATTAATTAATGAAACCTTGAGAAGGTGGCGAGCGAGATCAATGGAGATAACACCAGCGCTGCATCCCATCCCACTAAGATTAAAGCTCGCCACATCCTCCCTCATCTTATACTTGTTCACAATCATGGCCGACAGAGAAGGCGTCGGCCCGAACAAGCTACAGTTAACCACCAAAATACCGATCTCCTTCCTCACATCAACTCCGGTCTTCTCCAACAGTCGATCCACAGCACCGAATATCATCATCTCCGCCTCCTTCCTGGCCTCCGCTATGAACAAGGCCGGCGGTATTCTCGCCACCGCCTCCGGGAAGTAAGTGGAGTGGCCGACGCCGGACCTCTCCAAAATCCGTTTTTGGAAGGCCACATTGTCTTTGGTGAAGGTTCCGAGAACTATGCTGCGTTCGACGTAGGCTTGGTGAGTTTGGCTGCACGATTCGGTGGCTTTGTGGCAGGCGAAGTCGATGAGGAGGATTGTGTTGTGGCGGCTCAGTAGGAGCTGGAAGAGGAGAAAGAGGAGGACGACGACGACCAAGAGGAGGAGGACCAGAGTGAAGAAAAAGCTCATTTTGCAGGTACTAATCAATAGTTGATCTTGTTATGAATCAAAGTTATTGAAGAAGAAGAAGAAGAAGAACAGAAGGAAGGAGAAGGAAGATGCGTGCATGCGGAGTAATAAGTTTAAGGTGGTGGAAGGAGTGGGGATCAGTGGAGGGGCTTTTAAAGAATGGTGGGATTGAGGGTGGGGGCATTTTGGGATTTTTATTTTCTTAATAATTATATTCAAATGTAATAAATGGAATTAATCACATGATTTAATTTTTTTACTATAATAAATAAACATATATATATGAAGATATATGGATTTGATATGTGATACAAACTAACTCTTTATATCTAACATTAATTATTTTATTTTAAAAATGTAATATTTCTTAAATTCATTCTACTATAATTTTTATAAGAATTAAAGAGAGTTGGTGATAGGAGGAGTATTTGCCGGTTGGAGGGAGATTGAAATAATAAATTGGTGATAAATGCAGGCCATGTGAATATGTGATCTCGCATTCAATGTGTGAAGAAATGAATGGTCAGATTGAGTTGTCTTCTTTTTTGACTCTTATAGAAACAAAGAAGGAGATTGAAATTAATCAGCCCATGTGAGCCTAAAGCCATTGGCTTCTCAGTGGAGGGGGAGGACTCAAAATAACTCATTACTCAAAAGTGAAAATCTTTACTTCCTTTTTGGAATGCCCAAATACCCTATTTACTTCATTATATAATTATTATTATTATTATTATTATTTTGGAAACGTAATATCTACATGTTATCATCTCATAAGAGGTGCTTGACGGAGAAATTAATCCCTCCGAGAACCTACTAACAACCAGTCTCATAGGTGCAGGACCCACAATTATTTTCTCCACTCTTAAGGGGGTTTGAACATGAGTTGGGAGATTCCCAACTATACTGGCCCACCAACCTAGCTAAACCCGGTGGGGTATTATTATTCTTTCAAATGGTAATTTTCTTAATAAAATTTAAAAAAATGGAGAATATCTACACTTATAGTAGTTTAATTGATCAAATATATTCGATCAATTAATAAAATATTAGAATTTTCTTTCAATTAATAAAATATTATTTGTACCAAAATTCTATTTTTGAGCCAAACATAGAACAAATTAATTCAACGAACAGTTTTTTAATCTAAATCGAAATAAATCCAAAGAGCCGGTTCACGGTCAGAAAGGTTGAACCGGTTTGATTTTGAAAACCAACTAACAAAATAGCTCATAAATCAATAAAAAATAGTCCCTGACAAGCTGAACCTATTCAAATCTGGCTGCTGGGACCAGTTTAGTTAATGCGGCGCACCAACGTGTATTTATTGATGCAATTTTCTAAAATTTGGTAAGCCTATTTATTGTGTTCCACGAGTGCATTAGAACTAGAATGAATAGAAATCATCAGCATGAGACCATATATAGGACACCTAAATGTTTTTAATGGCTGACCATAGTGCTTGCTAGCTAGTTGGAATCCTTTGGAGTTTGTCTACAGCAATTCTTTTAAAGGTACAGACTACTACAGGTCCACAGATAGAAGGGCATTTTGATTGTAAGACTTTTATTATACTGAAGCAACATTTTTCAGCATCCAGATAAATCGTAGTTCAATTAAAATACCGCCGAATTCAAAATACCCGGTAAACATTTTCCAGAAAATACTTAAAACGTGCACAAATATCATCTCAGAAACATACCAAAAGTTACGCGGTAAAAAATTCATCAGTATAAAACGGAATCAATTATTCACTAACGGAAACAAAATCCGGAAAATTTATATATATCCAACCAGAAAAGTCGTCAAAATTCTTGTTTCTAAAAATTGAGAAAGGCGGGATGTGCCTTACCTCGAGTCGGTCAAATTTATGAACTGCAGCTACGGACAGAAGTAGCCCAAAAATTATTTTCTTCTTCTTTTTCCTTTGATTTTCTCTCTCCTGGGTTTTCTCTCTCTTCAAAAAGATCTCATTTCCATATATATCCAACCAGATCATCACGGACGATCCAAAATCATCCCGGGACGATTTGCCCTCTGGACGAATTTCGTTCAGACGAAATAGTTATCGTTCCTGGACGAGTTTCTCTCTGGAAAAATTTAGTACGGACGAACCCCACTTCGTCCTGGGATGAACCTTCCAGCCAGAAATTCTTACACAACCTGTACCGATCGTCCCCGGACGATCCAATTTCGTCCAGACGAACCTGGAAGAAAAAATGGCTTTCACAAGAGGCCTCCTATAAATATGCCCAAATGAAAGAAAATTGAAAAGACTAAAGTGCCCTCATGCTACAACATAGACTCAACTCCCCATAGGGAGAGCCGTCGATCCACGACTACGTCGACGATACACATGTCAAAATCTTTGACTGATGTCCTCATCAGTTGGGGGTTTAGGGCTAGTTTACCTCACTTAGAGGTTTCCCTAACATGTTGATTAAGTGTGGATTTTACTGCTTCTATTAGAAGTAGCATGTGTGTTTAAGAGGTTGGGTCTTACTGCTTTTATTGAAAGTATCTCATAAGTTTTGTAAAACCAAAAATTGATGATCGTAGGTGTCGCACGCATTTCGATGCATTGCATTGAAATTTAAGTGAAAATTCAATGTCATCGGAATTCGACGAAATAAATTTTATAAAATTCTATACAAAATTTCGAGCAATTTGATATAAAGAACGTATAGCAAATTTTTCTTAAATTTGAAATTAAAATCATGAAAAATTCTTAATACCTCAAATACCCCTAGTAAGTATTAAAGCAGAGATTAATCAAGTGAGGGTATTTAGGACTTTATACAATTAAAACCTAAACTCTTCCCTCTTAAGGGGTCCCCATTGTTTATTCGACCGAACCAAAAGGAGAAAGCGAAGGCGAGAGGGAGGAACGTACGGGAGTTCTTCGACGGCGACTCTGGTTTTTATTTCTTATGATGTTAGAAATGTTTTAAGGCTGAAATTTAGATTTTTAGCAAAAAATTTATTTTTTTTAATTTTTAAATTAAATAAATCTAAATTTTAATTAACCTAATTATTAATTAGGTTTAGAAGGATGTTTGACTTGATGATTTGATGAAATTAATGAATTTAGGGTTTTCAAAATTTAGGATTTTTAATAAATCCAAAATTTTTAATTAATTTTATTTTAATTAAGAAATTAGTGAATGTTTATGTTTATGTAAAATATATTATGATTAAGGTTGGATGACAAGGTTTGCTTTTACTTAGGTGTCGACTAAAAGGACGCCTCGAGCTTAAGCGACGTCGTATGTCGTAGAGATTGCTTTACAATTCTTGCGAGGTAGGTGTTTGCATTTAAATTAAGTTTATGAATTTAAATTAAGTTAATATTACACTTTCAAAATTCACATGCTGATGTTTATGAATTTCTTTAATTGCTTTAGTTTTACATTTATGTTTATATTCATGTCATGATATTAGGAATGTTAAAATTTGTAAAACAAAAATTCAAGGCATAACTAATACCGAATTATACACGAAGAATTTTGAAGAACCTATGTTTTATGAATAATTTTAGTCTCTTTGATATATATAAATATTATGATTTGCATGTTTATGATGGTCCGGAGTACCAAATGGTAAAAGGGTTCTACGGAGCCAATGGTAAAGGGGTTCTACGGAGCCAATGTTAAAGGGGTTCTTAGGAGCCAAAAGGTAAAAGAATGGCAAAAAATTTGACTGTGATGTGATACCAAATGCAAGGAGCTTCGTAAGAAGTTAAAATTGAGTTGTCAAAGAAATTACAACTAATAACTTATGGCGATAGCAAGAAAATCATTAAAGATATCGTGTTATTAACTAGCTTAGGCGAAGAAGCATGCGTAGATTGACCAAAACTCATGGATAAACAACGATAGTAGCAACACCAAAAGCTATTAAACAACAATCCGTAATTTAATAATGAGAAGTTCACCTTGGGGATTAACCACTCAACTAAACTAGGCTTAGAGGGAGAGAATTTTCAGCACACCAAACGATGCCACGAGGAAGGTCGCAATGCCAAGGGTCTTGAGCCACGGAGAGGTTGCCGGTGGTGGAGGAAACACGGGCGGCGTGCTTTCAATAGTCCACTCGTAATCTTCGAACCGCTCGTCTATGATGTCGATGAGTGTGGGTAGGATGCGGTTCAAGTAGTTCTCCACCGTTTCGTCGAATCCAAACCCGACGTCAAAGAAGGTGTATTTAATGAAAATACTATAAATGAGAAAGAAAAAATTTATGAAAGTTTATGTAAAAAAGAGAGGAAAATTGTTTAAACAAAAAGTTTCTAGAAAACTGAATATGAAAATCTTATGATTTATCTCTCAATGTTTATTGCAATCTTTTAATTGTTTTAATTCATGTTTAATGACATGTTTAAAATTATTTCATGAATTTAAGATAAATGCTTATCATCTGCTGAGCATTGGCTCATCCTATTTTTGGGAATATTTTTCAGGAGAAAGTGATAGGAAGTGATGGCAAGACGACAATTTACCTACCATCGAAAGGGCCTCAGGATGTCAGGTTTTTATATTTCTGTTATAAGTTGAGTTAGTGGTTGTAATGTGAAGTATATTGGTGTTTATGTGTTTATGTTTTTAGTGGTTGTATGTTTTGATGAAATTGTTGGAAAACTTTAAGTTGGATGTTTAGTGGCTCTTTCTTAAGTTGTATGGATGATATTTATGTTTATGCCTTTTAAGAAATGAAACTGTTATGATTTAAATGTTATTTGTGTTTTTCCGTACGACTGTTTGTTCCCACCACATTAATTCAGGCTAGCCAGGCCGGGTCGTGACAAGTTTGGGGGTTTAGGGTTGATTTACCTCACTTAGAGATTTCCCTAAGATGTTGATTAAGTGTGGGTCTTACTGCTTCTATTAGAAATAGCCCATGTGTTTAAGGGGTTGGATTTTACTGCTTTCATTGGAAGTAGTCCACAGTTTAAGTGGTTGGGTCTAACTACTTTCATTGTAAGTAGCCCGCAGGTTTAAGAGGTT